GAATCCATGGAACATTCCTCAATACAATAAAGGCTATATATGACTACAGCCAGCCTTGTACTTACTGGTGAAAAACTAAAGCCATTTCCTCTTAACTCAGGAATGAGACAAGGTTGTCCACTGTCTCCACTTCTCTTCAATCTAGTCTTAGAATGCCTACTTACAGCAATAAGACAAGATGCAAACATAAAGGGGATCCAAATAAAAAAAGAAGAAGTAAAACTCTCCTCTTTGCAGATGACATGATCCTGTATTCCCACAGAATCCCACAGACTCCACTCCAAAATCACTCAAACTGATTCAAAACTTGGGCAAAGTAGCAGGGTATAAAATTAACTCTCAAAAATCAATGGCTGTTCTGTATGCCAACAATGAGAAAAGTGTGGCTGAAATTAGGAAAGCAACTCCATTCATAATATCCCACAAAAAATAAAATACCTAGGAATTAATTTAACCAAAGAAGTGAAGGACCTCTATGATGAAAACGTTAAAAACTTGAAAAAGGAAATCAAAACAGAACTTAGAAAGTGGCAAAAACTCCCATGTTTCTGGATTGGAAAGATCAGCACCGTGAAAATGGCAATACTTCCCAAGGCTATCTACAAATTCAATGTGATACCTAATAATATTCCATCCTCATTCTTCAAGGAAATAGAAGAGGCAATCTAAAAATTCACATGGAATACTAAAAGACCCCGAATAGCTAAAACGAGGAGGAATATCAATATCAAATTTCAAACTCTACTATAAAGCCATAGTAATCAAAACAGCTTGGTATTGGCACAAGAATAGACCTCAGGACCAATGGAATAGAATTGAAAACCCAGAAATGAACCTACAGACCTATAGTCATCTAATTTTCGATAAGGGAGCTAAAAAAAATAGAATGGAAGAAAGACAGCCTCTTCAGTAAATGGTGCTGGCAAAATTGGTTAACTACTTTCAGACAACTAAAGCTAGATCCTTATATATCACTCTGCACCAGAATCACCTCCAAATGGATCAAAGACCTCAGAGTCAAAGCAGA